TACAAACTTAAGATGATGAAATCAAACTCATCAGGAAAAAACTACCATATTTACTTGAATGAGCACCACGACCCTTACTTAATTTTTGCGCCTCAAAAGCGACGCTTACTCAAGGGTGGCATTTATTGAAAAAATAGTTCTGCTCACTCACCCAAAGAGAAATTCGCTTTGGTTTGCAAAATTTTATGATGTGCATGCTCTGCATCAATGTTAAGTTCTGTTTGTTATTTTTAATTTACTGTCAATGAACTCAGACCACAGGGAACCCAAACAACATAATCATTTACATTCATGTAAAATAAATGAACTATGGTTCACTAGGGTGATTATCTAGCTCAACATTCACTTTCTAGATGTTTGTTTACAGACCAACATTCTCTAGTTAAATGTGAGTTCTATTTCCATTCATTTAACCCACGAATTAGGAGGTTCAAATATTCCAAAACCACGCAACTTTTAGAAATTGCTGAGAGAGGAAGCGCTTTTAATGACTTTGCTAACCAATTCTGGTTTGAAACTCTTTTGCACAGAAATTTCATCGAAAAATGGTGTAACGAGAACTTCAGACTATCTAGACGTACTTTCGAATATATTGTCTGAGTGGCTGGTCCGAATTTGGCTTACTTTTTTGCCATGAAAACAAACTTCTCAAACTCATTAATAATAATAATTATAAGCCAACCAGAGTGCCCCATTCGGGTCAAGTGGATGAGTTTGAAACTCAATGAAACACCAGTTGAAAATCGCTAGTGTTTCATCACATTTTCATCACTAGTGATAAAATTGTTCTTAATCTGCATATTCATAGATTACTCAAACACAGCTTAACATGAATCATTAATTTTGAATGAACAATGGGCAGGAAAAACATTTCAAATTACAAACTGACAAGCTGAAGTAATTTGAAATTAAAGTTTACAGTACATTTTCTTAAAGTTACCAAAATAGACTGGCATAGTATCCATATCCACATTCTGAGAAACTTTTTTTACCTTCCGTGACACGGACTCACTGCTGGAATCGACCCTAATTGTCGCACTTACCATTGATGATTCCAACTTAGGACCTAGTATTGCTGATACATTGGTCTGGACCTTTTCATTAGCTTTCTCATACTTCATCAAAGCATTGGATCTATGACCTGTTCTATCGCGAATCAGCTTCCTGTCAACGTCAGCATTAAACAAACTCAACGCACAAGTTATGCATAAACAGTGCGCAGTTTTACACTTTATTCCAGCAGCCTCGCACATATCAGGCAATAAAACGATTAAGCTTATTAATGTCAAAGCATATTCTTTTCACGTTAGGCCTGAAATAGAATGCATCAACTTCTTTCGCACAAATTTCCACAAGACCAATATAAAGGTGGTAATATTCAAGAAGACAAGGATTATGAGATTCACCTACAGAATGACAAATATGCGTCACGACACGTGGTTCATATTTCAAATCAAGCAAGTCTCCATGAAATGTTTTGGATGCATTGTCTTCAAAACAGATGTAATTATCACCTATTTCAAAATTGTTTAAGCAGATTCGCCTATGCTCCCCTCCACGGAGACCAAATAATTTGAGGGTACCTAAACTTCGAGCCAGGATCCGAGCCAGGATTCGAGCCAGGATTCAAATCCTGGCTTGAATCCTGGCTCGGATCCTGGCTTTATTCTTAGTTTATCTCAAATAATTTGCCATTATAGTAATATATAACATTTAACTAAGACTTAGTGGTCTCCTTTCCAAATACTCCACTTTGCCCCAGCTCGCTTTCTTCTTCATCAGTGACTGGCTCTTTTTCTTTTTGTTTCGCTTTCAAACCAGTGCCAGCTCGAGTCCCATCCTTCATTTCTGTGTCCAATTAATATTTGTCTAAAGATAGCAAATCTAATGAGAAAAAGAAAAGAGTTTGATGCAATTTCCTTAAGTTTTAAAATATCAAACGGACCCCCTCTCCAATAACGCCAATTCATGCACCTTTTGTCTGAAGAGTCCAAGGGA